TTCACTCCTCTTCCACATGTATCCATCTCCCACTACTCAATATGGAATTCCTGTTCCTGACGAACACAAATGCCATCAGACAAATCATATGCTCTTTTCCCTTTCTTTTTATTCTTCCCTCGCTCACACCTTTTCTACTCTCTCCATTTTATATTTTGCATCATCTGCAGCTTATATCATGTCTTTTAAGCCGTATCTAGCCCACTCAGTCTCTTTTGAAGATCTGACTATTGCGGGGCGGAGATGAGATCGAGGATGAATCTCTAAACCCGACAGTGTCTCTGCGCTGCCAGACAGAGTCAAACAGCAGAACATGACCAGCATAAAGAGAGGGTCATAGCTGCAGTGACAGGCCTTGTCAGGCATATTACAGTGTTTAGTGAAATATATAAGAGAGTCTGCACGCATGTACTCTTTTTCCAGGAGGAGTAGGAGAAGGTATAACAGAGCTCATCGTCTGTAACGGCCTCTCTGATGAGAACAATATTACAATCAGCCTCTGTGTTATAAAACTGACATTTTTTCCTAAAATATTTACTGTTATGTTCGGGAGCTTTTCAAGGCCAAAAAAACCCAACATTAACAAGGCCTCTGTTTGCGATACAAATGCCAGTTTTTCCTGTGTAATATTCTTCCAGCCGCAGTATGTTATTCTGCAGATGCTCCCTTTCCCACACTGTATTATTCTGCTGCATGGTTTCAATCTACACCAGAGGGCTGTGAGAGTTTAACAAAATACCAGCATGGATTTACACTTGCCCAAAATTTCAACATAACCCCATGACAGCTAGAAATTGGAGCAGTTTTCTCCCAAAAATGAAGGAGAAATGTAATCAAATCAAAGCACATGTGAGCTACTCTTATGAATAAACCAAATTTTAGGGAACTGCAGGAGAAATGTAGTTGAGACCTCAGTTTTTAGGTTACTCTGAAATGAAAGAAGAACCCCCACAAGGCTACAGATACTCAAAGAACCTTTTGTGGTACAATAAAAATACAGGTTATGTCATGCAAATTAGCCTGCAAGACGCTAAATATTTATATATTTAGGGCCTTTGCGATCACAAAAAAATAGCAAAATAATTCAAAGGAGAGGATTACAGTTCGTCCTGTATGACAACAAGCATGGGAAGAGAGGCTGAAAGGAGTGAAGAGGAAGCAAGTAAGAAGTCAGAAATAGGGCGTGACATGGCTAAACACCAGCAGCTCAATCCAATTTTGCCAGAAAAGGCTCCCTAACTTGGCAAAATTTGTATGCTGCATGGTCGTTCGCCTGTAAATAACCATATTTTTGGCTTCCTGGACAAATATGTTTTTTAAAAAACTTTCACAGTTGAGGGATGGGGAAAGAGAAAGGGACTCACCAGCCACAGAATTAGGGCGGGGCATGAGGTACAGAGGGATGGAGTGGGCAGAATGGGAGGACATGCTCTCCAGGTTTCGCTCAGGGATTTTGTTGAGGCTGTAGGTGGAGGCGGTCATGTTTTCATCCACCCTGTATAGGAACGAGTCCATGCCTGATTTCTGAGACTGCCACAGTTTCAGGTTTCCCCGCGAGCCCTCGCCGTATTTGCTGCCTCGCTCCATGTTCTCCGAATAGCTGGTCAGAGTTGCTGCAACACAAACAATGGCACGGTCTTTTAGATCATTTCTTTTGTTTTAGACACTGGGTTTGTTTGAGTTTCCTTTGTCATCTTTTCACCCACCCAGCCCATCTGCTTTCACATTTATTTGCTGTTGTTCTGAATCAATGGTATGTTGATGCAATGCTTTCCTCATCAAACTGCAGGTGTTCACCATTGTTGCCAGGAAACAATGACGGCACCTGCTTCGACTTTTGCCTCGCACCAGAGAGCATTTCGCGCTCTTGATTCCTTTCAATTGATGCATAAATGCCACAGATGATGGCGAGGTATCAAGCTACATCCAGTTGGTGTAAAGACCAGGAAAGGACCTTCGCTGTACTGGGAACTGATCACAGACCAGATCAAAGAAGACTTTTGGACAGTACCTTGCTCGGGTCTGGATATGGCATTCAGAATGACCATTTTTCTTTTTGTTGGTCATGACTCAGATTTAAATCAAACTGTTTTGCACAATTGGAAATATCATTTTATGATTTTTGGCTTTAGCACACAATCAGAGTTGTACAGAGTGGTTTGGAAATGCACAAGCCCGTTTTCCCACTGTTGGAACTCTCAGGCGTACTTTCTTTAGTTTTGTTTTTGTGGCAACCCTGCATTCCTTTTACCTTGGATACCTTGTAAAGGCATTTAAGTGATGTCTCTCCTGAACTGACTGCATTTCAGTAGTAGTAGTAGTGGGGAAAACAAAAGTTGTTTTGCTTTCTATACACAACAATACAGCATAATGCCTGTTTATTGATCTTAAAAACACAACCACAGCACAATCACAGACAAAGCCTAGTCAGCGCCCTGTATATGGCTAATTTAACAAGTAACAAATACAAATCAGTAATGTACAGAACAGATTTACTAAGGTTTGCGTGCACTGCTACCATCTCGGATTATGAAGTTAGGTTTGGTGGGGTTTATTCCAGCTCAGATTTTCAACATCCCACCTCGAATGGAAAGCAGCATTATTTCCTGGGGGAAATGTAGTACCTGCTCCGGGGTAGTTACCTCCACCATAAACCCAATAAAGCTGCCATTAAGGTCAGCCAATGGGTCAAAACCTGGAGTCGTCTGATTGGTTAACTCAGACAAAACAAGATGTAGAGATACAGTTTTTTAAAGAACCAGCAGAATTACATGTTCACCCAACTTAATGGCCTAGACATAAAAAAACAAGGAGCCCCACAGCAAAACAAAAACAACCCCCCTCCCTCTTCTCTGTCCCCTAAAATACGATATCATATTGTAACTCAAGTTTCTTTGGGGTTTGTTGCTTCTTCCTTCTGTAATCACGAATGTACTCATGTTCATTACGGGCGTTTTATGTGGATCAGCACGCAGATCTCACCGATAATCCCGCTGTCCCTGCTCTCCAGTGTCGAGGTGGGACTAGTGACAGAACCGTAGGCGCAGTCCCTGTTGCCAGCCTGGCCGGGCATGGCAGGGGGGAGGGTTGAGCAGGGGCTGCCTGCAGGTGGGGAGGCAGTGCTGCTGGTCAGGGTGGAACACGGGCTGATCCTCTGGTTCTGGCCCTGGGATGGACACAAATAAACACAGTTTTAAAGATTTTTTTGGCTCCCACAGCTCCATTAGCACACATGGGTATTAATGGCAAAAGTACAGCGTTTGAACTTTTAAAATGTGACTCATACGAAGGAAAATGTCATTCCAATACTGCAGTTTTCAAAAGCTCAGCCCCCTGCTGATCCTCTTAGTCCTTCTCCCACATGTATACAAACACATATAATACTAACTCATAATATGCTCCATTTCTCTACAAGATACGCTTGAAGAAGTTTTAACAATTAGGCCACGTTGCATAGCTAACGAAAATTGCAAATGCACAGCATGTTTACATACGCAAATACACTCAACACTCCTGGTAGTAGCATTTAAAAATACTTAATAATGGTACCTTCACTACAACCAATACATTTTGCAAGTAGCATATGTACTGTATACAGTGATGTGGTTTCTTTTCAGAAAACAATAGAGACAACAATAGAGTTACATTTTAACACTAATACTAACTTTAACTTGCATTTATAGATCCATAGAAACCCCTATTTTCATGCATATTTTTCTCTTCTTTGCCATAACTACAATCTTATATGTAGTATAAATGTATAGTATTTTCAGTCCTGGCGCTTTCCAGGCACCCTGGAGTGACTCTATTCGATGTCGGCTCGGGTTAGGAGACAATCGACCACAGGCGACAAAATATAAACACACTGCTGCATCCAATCAGCAGCTGCTCTGAACACCCACAGATGTACTCTTGTGCAAAACACATAACCTGCCCAAATTTATAGGATACAAGCATGCAACATTCACAGAAAAACAAGCAAGCCAAGTATTTGCGTCAGTCACTGAAAGGCACACACGGAAATCTCTCCTAAGCACTGGGGTGAACACAGACAGAAAAGAGGGGTGAAGTGGCGCTCAGGGCAAAATCTGGTCTACTTTAATTTGCAGGAGGAAGTCTGAAGGGACACACCAAGCCAATACATTTTAGATTAGCCAACAGACATCCAGAGTCAGGAGTAATGCTGGAGCTAAATGATTATTTTCAGTATTGATTAATCTGCCAATTATCTGTTGACGGCCTCCTGAGGTTGGAGATGAGAACAGGGTGACAATTAATCGCAGGATTGTTGGTTTGATCCTCAGGTCCACTTGTCCACATGTCAACATGTCCTTGGGAGAGACACTAATCTACTGATTGCTCCAAATAACCAAGCAACTGTTTATTATCTATTCGAGTGGGTGAATGAGAGACAATGTGGCCCTTTGATTTGACTAGCACTGCACAAATGTAGTCCGTTCGCCATTATTTTTGTGATTAAGTCTTCTTATTACACAAACACATAAAAACTTCTATCCAAACGCTGCCAATTAAGTTGAAAAATTGTTGTAGTTGTAATTCCTTATTTTTAAGAAAAGCAGCAAACCTCACACTTGAAAACCTGGAACCATTGAACACTCATATGTTTTCACAATAAACAACTTCTCACCTCAACTATACACACACTGCAGAGTACTACTAGATTAGTGGGATAACTGTGACACCTGTAAACACACTTCCACTTTAAGTAAATGCCCTCTGGCTGACACTAAACAGTGTTTCTGTGCCTGCGGAATAACAATTTGTCAACCAGCATTTCAGTCGCCGCTGCCCTCTGCTGTCTTCATGGATGAGACCGCTCAAGTGTCATGTTTACAAGAGCTTGACCCCGATGTAACCAAACATCCACACCAGCAGACAAATCTTCAACCCTGCGTGCGCTCAACCACGCCGCAGTTCTATCAGCTCGGATAACGAACGCAGCCTCCTGTAGGTTTGACCTTAAATGTCGCGTGAGGATTGGACTGAACTTGGAGAACGCTGCATCTATTTAGGGAGCGAGAGCACGCGAGTATGAAAGGCAATTAACTGCACCCTCTGCAAGTTGAGGTCACCTTGTTCTATCAGCTGGCGAGGTCTTGCAGCAGCTATTGTAGGAATTCAAACATGTTAAATGGCAATTTTTTTTATAATGATCGCTGAATTATAAACGCCCAGCATACCAAAGATCATCTTAAAAATGCCAAAAAGGAGAATTTATGCATTATAGAGGGAGACCCAAAGAAAAACAAGCAAAGAATCTTGAATTGACTTCTGCAACAATAAAGATGATTGCAAGAAAACAAACACATAGTTTAAAAAAAAAAAAAAAATGATATTGTGTTCACTGATAAGCCTTTAGAGCCATGTAGCTTTATTTTCTTCCTTTTTCTGACAGAAGCTGCGTTATTACATCATTTGTCCAGCAGGGTGGCTGGAGAAATGTAGCAGAGTAGTATCGGAGCCATTATTTCCCATTATATGTCAAGTGTAACCCCACCAGGGCTGCTATGTCAGCCATTAGAGGCCAAGACCATCACCATAGACGCCCATGTGAAAACGCCCAACTTCAAAGCAGCAGCGTTTAAAAGTTATTGTAGGGTCTCGACATTATAAATATAAAGCGCCTTGAGAAAACTGTTGGTGTGATTTGAAGATATATAAAGAAAATTTAAAAATTGAAGGTAGCGGTATCCTACCAATATCTGGATGGCATATGAATGTATGTTTTTTATCTTGAGCTAATATTTTCTAAGGAGAGGGTGAGATAAAGCACTTTTTTTTCCCTATCAAAACATGCACATCTCCTTTGAATTATACACTTTTATCTTCAGTCACTGTCTCAGACATGAATTAGAATCACTTAATGAACATTTATAAATTGGCTTTGAAACTATATTACTTATATTATGTTGCACTTACGTGGTTATTATTACTTTAACAGTAATTTTCTGTATGTTTATGGTTACATCAAGATCTGCTAATCCCTAACTCTGCATATTTTTGTTGTCTTGTGGAGGGCAAAGTGTCAAACCCCTGAATTACTGCACTAACCAAAGTCCATTAAAATCTAGTGAATCCCAAGCAAATGAGAAGAATTACAACAAAAGCCCACTCTTTTATCTGCTAATAGATGGTGTCTCGAGGCAATTCTTGTCATTTTTGGTGGTTAATGAATCAAACAAAATTGCAATCCAGAGAACAGTATTTGGGGCAGATATCTAAAACAATAAGTTTGTACTGTGTGCACGATGCAGCGGGGTGCTCGTGTGAGTCACGTCTCTAAAAAGAGCCGCTTGAATAAACCTCTCTCAATTTATACACCCCCACTGCTACAGCAGCGCTCACATCAAGCACAGGCAGTCCATCAGTCTAATCGCTTATCCACACTGTTTCAGAGCGAACACATACCTATGCCTGCCTTGAATGCTTCAGCAACAGGTTAGCCCCTTGTACCCCCCCCCATCCCCGTCCCACCCCGTTTCTCCTTCGCTGCCTCTCCGCAGCAACTGTTTTTCCTTGCACAGTTTGGAAAATTCATACCTGTCAAATTAGGTTTAGGTAGAGATACCAGGGCATCTGCTGCTGAGCTTAGAGCAAGTCTCTTGTGCCAAGAGCTGTTTGTTGCACAACTGACAAATTCACAAATAGAAAGGTTACGGCGCAGGAGCAAAACGTTAAGTCTAACCTGCCGCGTGTCGGCTCAAGAAACTTCCTTTGAATAATCTAGAGATAATCTAAATAAGGAAAAAAAATCATATTTGTTTTATAAAAAGCTAATTAGGCAGGAGGATATCTGACACTTGATGGAGAGGCACTGGTAATCTCAGAATCTAAAGCACTCTGGCACATGAGGGCAATTTACTGAAGAGTCCTTTGATCTGGCTACCCTGACTTCCAAAGATCTGTCAAAACTGACTGTAAACACGAATATTATGAAGATAAATGTCAAAACAGATCGAATCAGATGTGTTTGTTCAAGTTTCCAAGTGCGATTGCTCACAATGCAAATGTGTGAAAATCACAGTTTACAAGACAGATTCGACTGTTTGACTCAGATACAGATTAGGATAAATAGAATGAAAGTCTGTAGCTATGACGATTATTTACTGGGTTAATCTGAGAGAACGCTTCTTATCGAATTCACACTGCGTGCATCACGTGATGATATATCGATGACCTCTATCATCAGAGAAAAAGTGCAGATGGCTGAGAATAGTTAAAAAAGCATATTTCTGGTACCTGTCTCGCCTCGGGTTCCTCCATGCTGTACTGGGTACCGGCTGGCCCCTCACTCAGTTTGTCTCCGAGAAGGAAACCCAGGCGCGTCATCAATGTGTTGGCTGCCTCATCCACGGACGGAGGGGGGCCCAGCTCCTGGCTTGACTCCCCTGTGGAGGCAGATAGACGCAAGGAGGAGGAGGCAGGAGATGGGGGAGAGCAAAAAGAAGAGAAAGGAACGGGAGAATGTGTGTCAGTGGTGGGCAGAAAACTGAACAGCAGCTTATTTTGCCACAAGAAAAAAAAACCCCACAAGAAAACAAAACCTTACAACATTTCATTTTTTACATATCCATAACCTCTTTACCTAGAAACACACAGTACACTTGTTACACTCCCTTTGAATAAACTACAGCCCTGACTACACACCTGGACACACAGCACCTGCACGCAGGAAAAGAAAACGAAGCACTCTACCCGAGTTCTCCCGTAGCTCAGAGCTGTGCATTACTGACACATTCCCCAACAGCCGGACGTTTCGGTTGAGGTATCTCCTTACATAAACTCCAAAACCCCCTGAGCCACAACAACAAAAACAGTTTTCAACTGTTTACAAAAAACCGCCTTCCACAGCGACTAGCAGTAGGCTCCCATACCGACGACAGCTCCTTCCGCACCACTCATCACCACTACGGCTCGAGTGACGTAATGAAATACGCCCTTCACCTGCGTGTGTGTGAGTGAGTGAGACAGAGCGAGAGAGAGAGAGGTGTGTGCCTTTTCAAGATAAAGCGTGCATGTCCACATCCTTACTTCTATTTACAGAGACTTCTGGGACTAAAGAGAGCAAAGAAAACACCCGGGTGAGCCTGCATGATGATCAGATGATCAAAACCACAAACACACACAAACACACCCCCAGAGCGGAGCGATTTCAGTTGCCAACTTTACAATAGGACCCATAACAAAAATCCCTTAAAGACCTCATCCCGTCACCCAGTTGCCTGGTTACCCCCCACCCATAACAAACCCTAACCGGTGGTATCATGTTTTTCAATCACACTTGGCCCTAGAGGTGCCTACTAGATCAGTTTCACATTATTCACTGGAGTGCCACTCGCACAGCTCAAGGTTGTGTTAATTACTCACCCTGCACAAAAAAGTGACTGGTGGCTAAATTCAAACAGCTGTAATTGGACATATAAGCCTCTGAATTGGCCCAGACATCAATGTTATTGAAGCCAACAGCACAAGATGGTTGGTTTAAAAAAAAAAAAAAAAAAAAACCGGTTGGGGGCGGGGCTTTTTTTTTTTTTTTCCCCCTCAGTTTTCCAGCAGGGCTGGTCAAACCAGACTGGCAGGTAGTTACACGAAACTCTGACTGACAGCCATTAAACAGTCCAAGCCGCCACGCCACCTCTCTGAAGACGGACAGCTTGTCTACAGCCTGTGTCCTCTCACTCGTCAGTTCAAAGTCACACACACAGACGGGCAATCTAAAGCCCGGGCTCCCCTCTCCGTTTGCTCATGGGCGGAAAAGGCAGAACACTGTCAGGTTCCTCATTAGATTGACTCCAAGACAGTGTGAAAGAAGTAAAGAAGCTGGGTGCCTTCTGACAGGGAAAAAAAACCTTTGAATCGAATGGGGACGACATGGGTGCAGTGCTTCAATAAAAAACACAGAGCAGCAACCAATAATGAGGTAATCAGAGCATACATTAGGTCCGAAACAAGCTAATTATGTATGACTTTTAACGAGATGGTGATGGCGTTATGGAGCAGAGTGCATTCCTCCAAGGTCAGTGAATCCATGGGTTTCCCTTGAGGAAGTGTCCATTAATGGAGAAGATGTAGCTGGGGTAAAAGTCCTACCTCCTCACCGCTAATACCACAGGAGGACGGCTGAGATGCACTTGGATCGATTCATAGATTTCAGACACATGACTACAGCAGAGCTCTGGTTTGTGTTGGTATAAGCTAACCACAAACCTGTGAATTTTTCATCAATTTCAAGCCACGACTAGAAAGATAAAAACATCTAAAAAGAAGAAAAACAAAATATGTGTGAAAAAACTGCAAGTTTCAGACACTTTTGATGTATACAGCACAGCAGCACTTCAATCACTAAAAACAGCCCCGGGTTCCTGCCAGAGCTCCACTTTTGCAGTGTTTTACACATACCTTATTGGGAATCTTTTTGTTAAAGCATAAAAGTTTACACAGTTATGTAAATTTTCAATTTGGAGTGGTCAATATATCTGCTGTTTTGGAGGTAAAGGAGAAGAAGGTAAGTGCTGATTGGTTAATTCCAACTTACAAGTGATGTTTATCGATAAGTGGGGTCATTTTAGTCAACATTTCGGCAGATTACCAACAAAACAGCAGCATCTTTGATAGATTGTATGAAATAAATTTAATCAAATGCAATTAGATTAAATTTATAGGACAACAACAGTTTGGTTTTCGCTTTGGTTTATCCAATGTAATAACTATCATGCCGAGGAACATCTTATTTTGCTGAAAGATAGTCTTTGTGTCACTCGCTGGGTTGCACTGTCCCATGTCTGAAACCTGGAGCTGGGCATTTTTGTTGCTGCCATCTTTTCTTTTTGAAACCAGTCACCATGAGTGAAGGATACAAAAAGCTTTACCACCATACAGTAGCACGTTGCTAATCATAATGAGGATATGCTGATTTACCGTTCTCGACACTGTTGGGTACCAAAATTTACAAAATGAAGATCATGCTCATACTAAGGACAACAATCAAGGGAACAGAGGTATACAAAACTTCTTTTTGCAACTAGGAGCGCCCTCTTCTGGTTGTCCTTTTTATACCTGGGAGCCTTGTCCATCTTTTATATACAGTGTATCGTTTTTCCCTAATGATGTGTTATCTCATGAAGACCATGAACAGAAGAAACCTACATGAAAAGTAAAGCAAATCATCTATCCATACAGACAGCATGTCATTTCTATGTATTAGCTGCTGTCTTTGCACCAGTCTGAACACTGAGCCACCGAAGGCTTCCCAGTTGACAGACTGGTAGTAGTAAGGAGTGAATATATTAGCAGTCATTAGTCAACTGCTCCCGTAGGTGGTGTGGTGGGGGGTTGGGGCGTGATCGTGATCATGATCAAACATGGGCTCTGTCTGCCTGTGTTAAGTTGTGTTCTTTCGCTCGTCTCTTTGAATGCTACTCTCCCTCACAATTCCCTCTGTTCCCTTTAGTTCTTCTTACTATAGTGTCTGTGTAGCAGCCAGCTGTTGGCCAACCCTGTGCAGGAGCGAGCAGTTTGTCTAGGTTTCTTTTGATGTGGTAACAAAATCTCTAATCTGGATGCCTGAGCCCATAGTGAATCCCTTGAGCGAACCATAGGCAATCCCTTTGTACATCTTTAAACTCTCCCACTCTAAAAATATGACAGCAGAGTCAAACATATGGCCAAGGCCCAGATTTTTGGCAGTGATGACAATCACAGAGCTGTCAAACTCGAAACAAAAATACCATACCATCTGAATCCTTCTTAAAGCTCCCTGTTCTTGTAGCTACTGTAAGGGAGCTACAATCAAAGGGAATATATTATCATAATGTAGGGGTTGTATGTACTGATTTGCTTGTATTTATAGCCCTACCTTTTGTTCTTTAAATACACATTATGACAGTCACATGGTGCCGAAGTCACTGCAAGCAAACATCTAGATCACTTCAAAGCCAGACGCCAAACACACGGCTAAAGGAACTTCAGGCGCTTTTCGTCAGTGTAACACCTTAATAAATATAAAATAAAATTTGCCAAACATCAAAACACATATATGCATATATATATACACATATATATATAAATGCACACTTCTCTCTATTGGATTCCTGAGCTGCGAAGGAGACAGATGGTTGCCATGGCAACTATCTTTGCGCGCAGCTAGGAATGTGTTTCTGTGCGAGCGCATCTGTTTCTCCCTGGCCGTCCACGGATCTGCCCTCGCGCACCGACGGTGAGCCAGAGAGAGCAAGAGAAGCATGTGTGCTGCAAGCAGGGGACTGGACCGGACAGGAGAGGGTATAAATAGGCCTGAGTAGCAGGTGAGATAACACATAGCATTTGGTGGCTCCTATTTCACCTCTACCTGGGAGCATTAACTTCCAGGTAATCGAAAAGTAAGCCACCACATTTTTAAAAAGAAAAAGTTAAATACGCAAGGTTCAAAGATAAATTTACCTCAAGAGGACGTGGCACTGATTAAAAAGTAAAAATGAGGTTAAAGTGGTGTTTGCAATTTTACTTTACGGCTTTGGGGAGGAAAAGAAAGCTTGAATAATACAAGTAGTGAAATGTACAGGCAAAGACACCTGAAAATCCGGGAATGTAGGGCTAATCAAGAAATCAGAGGAATGAATCTCACATTCTTGATGTGCACAGCTGTGATCATATCTATGCATAAACACTGCATCTCAGGGCACTGGATTTCAGGATTTGATGATATAACGTAGATGTAAGTAGTATAATCAAAATATATAGAACTTGCACTTTAGGAACAGCTTTAGTTGCATTTAGTTTTCACAGAAACAGTACCACAGTGGATCTTTATGAGTTATTTTATTTGGCAGAATAACAAAAAATTATCTGTAAACTAGATATTAAAATAAACTATATTTGATAATATTACTATCTATTATTTGTTTAATGCGTTATGCGTTATGCTGTTGAAGCCGACTCCAAAATTTAATTTAATGTTTCCACCCCCCTCCTGCCTGCGGTGCTAGTTATCCATTTAGATTGTTCTGGTGTGAGTTGCCCAATATTGGAGATATCAGCTGCAGAGGTGCTGCCTTCTCTTCAGTGTAATTGAAGTAAATGGCTCTTGCCTAGTGGTGCTCAAAGAACAACCCCCAAAAAAAGGGAAAGGCTCTTTCCAGAAAGAGTAACCCGTTTATTAAAAACAATCCACAAACATTGTTATCTCCGAGACACCCGCCAACCATGTAAATGTCCAGTGTCCAATTTGATAACGCACCAATGATGAAAGGCTCATGGTTATGACAGTCTGACAGGATGTAATCATCAATGAGCTGTAATGTTAGAGAGCTGCATGAGTCCTTTGGTTGGAGGATAAAGACAGTAGAACAAAATAGTTCCCATACGAAACTTGTTTGTTTTGTTTTGTTTTCTGTGTTGGGTGACTGGAACATCGCTTTCCCTTGAATACAGTAAAACCACATAGCGCTTGCCTTGAGTCAAAGAAAAGCGGAGAAAAGACAAATTCAGCAGACATTTTTATAGCAGATAACTCCAAAAATTGGCAACTCACAACAAGACAGTTGAAGAAATGGCTTTAAAGACCTGAAGCTAAAGACGCCCAACTGAAATTAAACCGCATGTTTTTGTCCGCTTTTACAAACGTACACTCACCTGCCGCTCAGATGTACCTGTTTAACTGCTCCATCAATGCAAATTTCCAACCAGCCAGTGACATGACAGCAACTCAATGCATTTGGGTATACAGACAAAGTCAATCAGTGATCTGCTGAAGTTCAAACTGAGCATCAGAAAGGAGAAAAGGGGGATCTGACTACTTCAGGAATTACTGACAACAGTCCAAAAAAAAAGAAAATACTGAGTCCACAGTGTACACATCTTCTTCCATGACACAAAGCTCAAATCATGTCAAACTGGTTTGTTGAAGATAACAACAAGTTCACTATGATAACACCAATTTCTTCATGACTTTAATAGAACAGCATTAGTTCTTTCCAATTATATGAGAATATGTCTCTATTCAGTCAAATTAAAAAGTACATAAACCACAAAAGATGCATTGGCTGAATGTTAAAAGCCTTCACAGCCCACACTTATGCACAATTAACTTCAGGCATCAGATTTAGTACAAGGTCACTGACCAGATCTGTTGTTTACATCTTAAACTACATTCACGCCATTCTTCCTTATCACCGTTTGGCATTAAATCTAAACAATCTGCTGGAATCCTGCAGCTCATTTCTTTTGGTTCTGCACCTGACTCTAAATTTTTTGTTGAGATTTATGGACTTCACATCCCCCCTTAATATACTAAGTCAGTTGAGTAGTTTATCAATTTGACTCACAGATAATAACTTTAACAGATAATTCACACAGTTCAAATAAGTTAAACGTTGGCCTATAACATTGTTCAAAATATAAAGCAAGCACATGTTGAAGTGGACGCTAATTATCTGTTCACCTTTTGGTTTTTTCATCCCTTCCTACTTCCCCTCACATGGGAAGGGTGGAGAGGGAAGTGGCACGTAATGTTTTGTCTTTTGCTCCTCTCTGTTTATTGAACACTACTGAGAAATGCATGTGACCTGGCATGCATATGCAAGCACTGACATTTAATCTATAATACCCCCGATTGTAATTTTAATTGCAAAACGGAGTGACACAATGGAGGATTTTATCTGTAGCGTCTGCCCCCAGTCTGGAGAATTACCTTTAAGAAGGTTGAACTCTAACATCATTAGAAAGGCTTTCACTCAACGGTTTAAGGAGGCTGGCTGGTGGGAGCTTTACAAGATATTTGCAAACAATATTTATGGCACCACAAATATCTTTGTAGGACACATAAAAAAAAAAGAAAAATCAACTGATGCCTCACTTCCTCCACTCAAAAGACAGTGTCAGCAGCAGAGTGTGGACTAGCATGTGATCAGATGTTTAAGTCACCACCCTGCTGCTAGACACGCCAAGGAGACCTCGTTAAGAGCTAACATGTCCATCTGTCCACCGGGGAGGTGCAACTCCTCACCTCTCGTGAAAACTCATCTTAGGCTTCCCAGTTCCGCTCCAGTTCATGTTTTATCAACTCTTTTCCTGTCCCAATGGAAGGCAAGGCACATTTATTTATATAGCGCAATTCAACAGCAAGGTGATTCAAAGTGCTTTACAGAGACATTAAAAAACAAAAACAAATAAAAAGCATGATTTAAAATGGAAAAAAAGAAAGGAACAGTAGATAAAACCAGTAGTTAAAATATAAGTTTTGAAATTTAAGCTTAAAAGTAAAACAGTGCGAAATTGGTGCTTTATTCGAATGCAGCTGAGAACAGGTGAGTCTTCAACCTGGATTTAAATAAACTGAGTGTCTCAGCTGATCTGAGGCTTTCTGGGAGTTTGTTTGAGATATATGGAGCATAAAAGCTGAATGCAGCTTCTCCGTGTCTGGTTCTGTCTCTGGGAACTGATAAAAAACCGGATCCAGATGACGTGAGGGATCTGGAAGGTTCATACTGGGTCGAGAAGCAGAGATTACCATGTTATCCCTGAAATGTCACACCTATTGCCGCTCATAACTGCTGCTATTCACCAGCCGCCTGACTTAATGCAAAGATAAAGCCAGGGTCAACAGTTTTTCATCCATGAAATTCAAAAGCAAGCCAGGAGCTAGAATCAAAGGGTTTATCCTCAAGTAATACACTATTCAGACCATATAATGTGTAGTATGACAGAAATGAATATATAATCAACTATATCACCTACTTAGAATTCCCATTGAGCAGAAAGTCAGCAGAAGAGGCTCACAGACGGAGAAGGCTGGTAGCACACTTTCAAACATTTTCCGCCTAAATAAGTCCAGTTAAGCCTCGAGGCTTTCCATCACCATTTCTCGTGTATACATCCAGCCCTGGGTTCTCCTATTCCACCACAGGTTGAGCCAAAAAGACAGGGCAGGAAGCTAGCAGCGCATTTCTCAATGGCAACAGGAAAAGGAGAAGCAAGATGAGAAAGCAGATATACCAGAACCAGATCTGAGCACAGCACTATCCTCAGGTGACCCGTTTTAAAGTCCTTCTGAGCGAGGAAGACGAAGAGACAAGGGAGGAGGATAGACGGGGTTTGATGGGGATAGACTGGGAGGGGAGGGGTGGGGATGTGGACTGTCCGCAGGATTACTGAGAAAAAGCCGACTGCGAAGTTAACGGAAAACAGCGGTGGCACCTAACCGAGCTATCTGCCCGAAAAGCAGAGCGGGGTGAGAAAGCAGCGAGAGAGGATTAGAGAGACAGAGAGGGAGGAGGCGATGAGGATGGACACTGCAGGCCCCAGCAAAGCTTTTTCATTAATAACCTTAGCAATGTTTTACAGCAGCCAGCAGCAGCAGAGTACTCCGAAAACTGATCATCTTCTGTGAAACCAGGGAGGCACAGAGAAGAACCAACGAGCAAAAAATAAATAAATAAATAAACAACACACGAAATTAGGGATGAGCTGGCCAAAACTTACCAGGGCAGTATGTGTCCAGGTCTGGATTCTTGGCAGTGGTGGAGGTGTGTGTAGGGGAGCCAAGCTCTGATTGTGGAATGCGAGGGCTCTCCACAAACTTTGCTTTCCGCAGAGGGGCTGGGAGCAGAAAGCATAGACACACACACACACACCCAGAAGGAGACAACACGTGCACACACAGAAACACAGAGAGACACACACATAAATCAGGGAGATGGAAGAAGAAAAGAAAGAGAGGAGTGACAGGGACAGGACAGAAAGGGAGGAAAGTCAGAGAGCTTACAGCATGAACTTAAAGCAGCACACTGATAAAATGAAAACATCCTGAAGGCTTTCTTACGCCTTGTGTTTGCCTCGGGTCAGATAAAGCAAACACATGAGTAAATAAGCAACGTGAGCAATCAGGTACCTCGCTAGGGCGAACCAATACACCTGCAAAACATCAGCCCACCACTGAAATGCAAGAATACCAGGAAGCAAAAAAAAGAAATAGAAAAGCTAAATAAATAAAAAGTTTCTTGCGTCTGTTTGTCCAGTGTCAAAAATCACAGCGAGAATGCAAATGAGATCCATTTTGGGAATGTCCTCGCGCCCGACTCAGCCACAGCGTCTGAGACATCAAATGAGAAAATCAGAGATTCACAGAAAGCCGGGGGTGGTGGCTGTGTATGATCCTTTCATGGGTTCTTGGTCACGGCGCACAGATTGCACTGTTACCCAGTTCAGCTTACAGTGTCACGAGTCCATACATTGTGGTGTTCTTAAAAAATTGTTTTATGACGCACATAAAAGGCAAAGTCATTGTACTGATAAACGCACACAGGCTACATACCCTGGAAGAAATGCAAAAAGAAGAAAGCCTTTGCGATCCATTCAGTGGCATTTGTTTGCAAGGATGTTGTTGTTAAAAATCACCGAGTGTGATGGCTCTCCACAGCAAGAATAATGAGACCATAAGGCTTCCTGCACTCACTCTGCTTTTTAATGTTCTGTCAATTAGCACCAAAATGCTAAGCCTGCTTACGCTGAATATCTGGCTAATATACCACACAAATGGAGACCAAAAAAAAGAAAAAACAACCCATCCATCCAATACAGAAATCACTTCCCCTCCTCCTCTGTTATATTCATAAACAAGAGGAACCAGACTATATTTCCCCCTTTTTTTGTCCTCACTATGGAAATAACTTCTATGACGAACTTGGGAGTCATGCCCAGCTGTGAGAAAGAAAAAACGAAATCAGCCAATATCAACTAAATTGTGCATAAGACTCATTTGTTTAATCTAATATCTTTCTTTTCTGTACTGGTGTGGATTTGAGATGGGCAGCAACTAAGCATAATTTACCCTTAATTGACTAATCTGGTTAAATAGGGGTTTAAAATAGATTATACTGTATCCCGCAACCATTACTGTTACGGGTGAGCACACACGTCCAAAGCTATCTGGTGCAGAAATACCGTGCAGGACCAAAGTGCGGTGAGCAGGAAGTCATGAGCAGCAGTTGGAACATATGTTCAAGCAACAGCGAGTGCAAAACCAGAATAGATTCTTCACCACTTTTGTTTAGGGCTCATGTTACAGCTAATGTCAGGATAATGTATGTGTGTGTGTAATGGGTGGGGAGGAGAGCTTTAATCCCTTTGCCTACATACTGTTGAGCACAGTACAGTGGTACAGATGGTCGATGTAAAATGCGTAACATACAGCGAGAAAGTTCAAGCATCTTCACAGGCTGTACAGACTTGTAAACATGCCATTTTCAAAACAAGCTTTATTTTCAGTCTTTAGCTTTTAAACTCTGCGCCTTTGTTCAAATATCCTTTTCAATGTTATTCTTTTTCCACTAACTATATATATGTTATATACTTTTTAAAATCAGAGCGCACCATCAAATCAATTCGATTCTGGTCAGTTAGGTAGCAGAGGGGGGTGTTAGTCAGTTTCAGCTGCTTTGGTGTTAATTACGTTAACAACAGGCGCACTAGAGGGACACCAATGAGACAAGCGCCAAAAGAACGGTTTTACAGGTGGATGGCACCGACGGTTTTTGGGTTTCTTTTGACTGTTTTTTTCCCATTAGTTTTGAGTTTGGCTAGGTCAGTGTCACTACTGGTAGCATGCAGGAGTGGCTGGACCCAGCACCTCCTCCAGGATGGCACATAAATGCATGCCAATGCCAGAAGGTTTGCTGTTTCTCCCACCACAGTGTCAAGAGCAAGAAGGAGTGCTCAAGAGCATGAGCTCCCTGCCCGACATCGTGGAGCCAGATTAGCATTTCCCATACACTACCAGAATTGATAAATCCACCACTGGCACTCTCTTCTTTTCACAGATGAGAGAGGTTCACTCTGAGCATATGAGACAGATGTGAAAGAGTCTGCGGGCACTGTGGAGAACTTCATGCTGCCTGTAGCATCGTTCAACATAACTGGTTTGGTTGTGGGTCTAGGGAGGCATATCTATGGAGGGACATACAGACTTCTAAAGGCTAGGCAGCACCACCCTGACTCCCATTAGGTATTGGGATGAAATCCTTGGACTTATAATCAGAACTACACTAATGCAGCAGGTCCTGAGTTCCTTATGGTGCATGACAATGCCTTATGTGGAGAGAGTATGCAGGCAGTCCCTGAAGGATGAAAGAATCAATACCACTGACTCTCCCCCAAACTCTGCCTGACCACAATCCAATAAAACACCTCTGGGACACATCAGATGCTGCCAGGTTTCACCTCAGACTGTCCAGGAGCTCAGAGCCCCTGTCCAAACTGGGAGGAGAGCCCCCAGGACACTGTCATCTCATTAGGAGCATGCCCTGATCTTGTCAGTCATGCATACAAGCATATAGGGGCCATACAAACTACTTAGCACCACTTTGAGTTGCTGCAATGAAATGCTACAAAGTTGCTAATGCTCTGCTGACTCGATAACTGCAGATTTCCAAAGCTCCTCTGGCATTAACATCTGTATAGAAACTGCACCAGGAGCTTCATGGCAAATGGCTGAGTAGCTCCTCTCAGTGAAATGTGCAGGTGGCCCCTACCTTCCATTTAGTTTTCATGCAGTGTAGATATTATCTTAAAACCCTTTGCAAGGACTTTTTCGGTTTTAATTCAAGTATCACGTTACATATTCCATCGTTGGAATATTCCTACTCACTCTACAGCATTGTGTAAAAAAATGCAAGCAAACATGAGACAGGAAGAATATTTAATTTCATTGTTAATTTCTGTTCCTCAGAGGTGTTCAGCACAGCAGACGTGTTACTCTCATTTTAAACATCGTTGGTGGAAACTGCTTTAAGGCTACTTCACCTGTAATGACAATGCATGTTGTACGTTTTAATTAACTTCAATATTCAGTAGAAGAGAGAATAATATAGATGGGTTAAGCAGTAGAGTGGTAGCTTCTTCAGACAGTGGCCCTCCAACTTTGTAAATTAATAGTGCAGTATTGCTATGATACTACTACTTGTACTAATTAGTTAATATTAGGTCCCTAATCAGGTTGTATTAGACAAAGTCAAATTTTAGATTAAAAAAAGTAATGTATCAAAGTTGTTACAGTACTTTTCTGCTAAAATGTCTGCAACAAATGTCATGTCAATCCAAGCAAAGAAGTTGCTAGGGCATTTTAGCCAGCATAAGAGTAACGAAAAAAATCATGCTTCAGGCATGACGAAAAACAACTTAAAATTCCAAGATCCAGGCCTGCACCAGGCACTAACAACTTGTTCCCTTTTCTCATGATCTTATTGTGCACCAATCTACTGCAATCTGTTGTCACGATTTGACATACTCTGCTCACAAACAAATCCAAAGTTAAAACAAATGAAAACGAATTCTGCCTGGCAAAGAAAATAAAGTGCCGCTTCAGAGCTATGTGCATGTGCATAAAGTACAAGTGTTTATATGCCATATTTACTGTCAGCACTGTGTTAGTATGGCCTGGACAGGACTCTGCTAAATACCAAATCTAGGAGGTTATCCAGCACAGATGCCACAATGAACAAATACAAGTGATCGCCAGGACTAGAAGACTCCAGAGTCATCCACGATTCAATGAAACGCCATGACAGACAAACTTACAAGCTTTTCTGCTTTTGGACAGTGTTTTATGAGTTTAGAGTCCACTAACTGTGAGTTAGTAAATAAATATAAACTCAATTAGGAAAAAAAAATACTAATAATTTTAGAATGCATTTAAATCATATTACATATTATTATTATTATTATATGTAACTAAATATAAAAATTTATTAGCTACAATACAATTACATAAAATGTATTTATTGTATTCTCATCTCCTATTTGTTCATTTTTTTGTTGCCCATCAATAGATTATGTCAGGTTTTGACCTTCACACAAAAGATGTGTGAAAAGATTCTGCTCATATTGGTGTGAAGGTTGTACACGTACTACTTGTTATCTGAGGAGCCAAGTAAGAATTATTTTGGTTGATGGAGCTTTTAACTTTCAAACAGGAAGACAGGTAGGGACACTTTCCTAACTGTATACAATTTGGGTTAGGGCTGGAGCATGTTTTCTGTTTTGCCCCTCTCGTCCATTTAACAATATTGAAAAGTTCACTTGGTTAGGTAAAAACTGAATGTGCCATAGCAGAAAAAGACGCCAAAGCTTGTATTTTTATGCTTCCATTTCAACCTACAGTCCTGTCCGATTTCCTGCAGGCGCTCTTGCACCTGCACTGACAAGCTTGCAACAGCTTGCACTATAACCTGTAACAAGCTGGAAGGAGAGTGTGACAGTCTGACAGTGTAGGCAGTGTGTTCGCAAGAGCATGAACACAAAGTTCCCCCATATATTTCAACTGTTTTTACATTTTAAATCATTTACGGTACCAAAGGTTTCCTGCGATGCCTTGACACTGATTGCACTGAGAGACTAAAGGCATTCTCCTCCCAGAATATCAATTTTGGGATAAACTACAGTGAAAAGAAGATTACCATTTCTTTTGTTTGTAGTCTCCCTGATCTCACCTCTACAAAATAGGGAAGGGAAACGCTGTCTATTGGAGTAAATCCCCTCTATAGCTCTGGTTCCAGGAGACTAAATCCCATGGACTTCTCTCCTGCAGTTCTGTTGTCAGTGTG